AAAAAAGTTTTAAAATTAGATTTTGGTACACAGTTACCAGCTCCAGGCAGCATCTTGTCAAAGCCCTTTACTTTTATTCTATGGTTCCCCCCAAACTCCAGACGCCATTTAGAGTTTTTTTTTTTTCTTTTTCTTTTTCATCATAGTCTCTATTTAGTCCACATATAGTTGTTAAAAAATAGGGCTGCGTTTGGTCATTCTGATTTTGTCTGTCTTGAATCCAATATTAGATGATGAAAAAGATGTTTCAAGCCCAGTATTGAACATCTTTTCAGTGATCTAAAGATTACAGCTTTTCACCTCTCACTTTTCCGGAAAATCTCAATGTTTTCTGGAGGTAAATTATATATAATCTTTTAAATGTCTTTTCAATCCTTTTTTGCTCGGTTGGTTGATTTGCAGATTGTACTAGAAGCATATTTATTTTTTAGTAATACGATCTGAACAATTAGATGGCTGAACAACTGAATAATGTTTGTACTGCCGTGTTTGAAGAGATAATTGTGGCACCGTTACATCAGAAAGTTAAAGTAAAAATTAGGAGTGAGTATTGGCAAAGGTGTTGTGATACTTGTCATGTCTGGTCACAATAGGATATTATCAGGATCTTGCAATATATAGTATATATTGCTATATTTTGCCCATATATGAAATAAATACAGATAAAAAAAAGCAAGTGCTGGATATGTTCATCAGATGTTTGGGGTTTGAGTCAGTCCACATCTTTCGCTGTGACTGCCTCGACTACAGAAATTGCTCTGCGGTGCACAGCAAAAGGGCTCTACGGGGCTATCTACTGTACCTGAGTGGAGGTAGCCCATTTTCCCTCAATGCCTTAGATTTTTTATAATTTCTTTATCGATATTAGGAACCGAAAGATCGATATATTGAGAAGCCAAAAATCACGATATATCGCCAAATAGATTTTTTTCCCCCACACCACTACTCAAAATAAATATCTACCCATACCCAGAAGGGAAGAAAGGAGGGAAGGAAGGGAAAGAAGTGTGTTAACCCTATGTTCTTTTTTTCTTTGTTGTGTTGGGCAGCCATTTCTAGTCCTTTGACTGTTTTATGTGATAGGCTCACTGGTGTTGACTCTCTAGCCACCGGCACACACAAAAAGACTAGTTTCAGCTTTTGAAATGGGGCCAAAGTAGGGAATCCAGCTTTAGCTTTGATCTTCCAGAGCACCTCACTGTGCCGTTCTACTGTTGTTTTGGTTTGAGCCAGCTTTCTGTTTAAGCTGTGTGTGATGTTCTAAATGTCTGTGGCAGCATTGCAGAGGCTTCCTGCTGAGTCTGCCGTCACATATTAATGAGATGCCATGTGTGTGGACATTGACTGCCAGTGTGTATAACAAGTATAAAATTTTTACCTGATGTCAGTGTGATAAGGTTTGAAAACGACAGCCTTCTCTACCTAAACATTGATTCCTTATCTTCCATTTTTTTGGATGAGCAGACATTTTTGTGTTCTGAGTGGAAGCTGTTCCCCAGAGCAGAATGGTTTCACCATCTGTCTGTGCCGTGTCCTGTGATTTCCCTCTGTAATTCAGACAAATGTCAGACTGTGGGTTGGGAATGACCTTTGAACAACTGCTCCAGACCTTCTCAATTCACGTTTCTTCTTAACGCTCCTCATGAGCCCTCTATCACATTTTGATGCTATTCAGGTGTGCTAACATTTAAAGCAAAAGTGCTGCATTTTCTATTTCTATTTTGGACTTTTTTCTTTTTCTTTTACTACACCCACAAACTTCAGTGTTCTCTGATTAATACACTGGCAATAAATGGCATAGAATTGTAAAACTGAAGGGCAATTTCTTTAATTCATTTTACTAATTAATAGTGAACAGTTTACCCAATTTCTAAATCTTTGTATTTAAAAGCTTTGAGTTTTTGTAAGCATCTTCCAGCTTTACACATCTAGTTACTAACATTTTTTCTCAAATTCTTGTCTTTTATTCTTCTCAATAATTTAAGATCAGTCAGATTGGACTGAGATAGTCTTTGAAAGCATTTCAAGTTTGGACTGATTCATCATATAAACAGGCTTAACTATTATTTTGTAGCTCTGTTTCTTTATTTAAGGTTGTTTTTCTGCTGAAAAAATGATATTTGCATTATTGTCTTTTTTGCAAATATATACCAGCATCACTGTGATGTAATCAAGATGATGCACACATTATTATCCATCCACATTACGGTATTTAGGTTGGGCTATAAAGTAAGTTCTGCCCTTTTTGTCAATAGAAATGCTCATGTCTTGATAGGTTTTAAGACTCTGCCTTATTTTCTATATAGATATCAAACCACTTTTTGGATGATATTCATTTTGCTTTTTGATGAAATTGTTGTCCATAAAATCTCTAATGCTTTTACAGTAGAGCTGCATTTGTCTTGGAAATTAACTCCCAAAACGGTTTCTGTTCTTTAATTTTATAACTTCAAAATTGTATTTAAAAGATTTTATTCAACTTCACAATTATACAGTACTTAGAGCAAGGCTACCACAAAAAGTTGGAGCCTCCTAATCATCACATCATCAATTGTAGTTACGATTGCTGCTGACATATTACAGCAAATCTCTTGTTTTACACAATGCGACAACTGTTGTTTCTTTGTGTGCTAAACTCTCTCCTCTCTGTGTTTTACAGTATAAGGGCCAAGCCAACCTACACGTATTTGAAGACTGGTGCGGCTCCTCTATAGACCAGCTAAGAAAGAACCTGCACTTCCCTCTCTATCCTCATGTAGGTATTAAAGTGTGAAGATAAAATGTCACTGAACAAAGGGTACAATAGTGGCAGCTGTTATCTGTGACAGATAGTAAATTGAAAAATTATTAGCCTGTAAAAGCAAGTGGTTTTTAAAATATAGGCTTTTACATGGTGTCTTATTGCAGCAATACAAAAGGCTAGACTGCATAATGAGATGTTTGTGTTCTCTGTTGCTATGACACATTTGATGGAATAGAATCTTTTTTACTTTATGTGCATTGAGATAAAAAGCATAAGACATTTTCTTTTTGTCAAAGGTTTCAGTTTAAACAGCACAGACTGTGGCAATTGATGTAAAGTGGAGACGGATTCAGTCCTGCTTCATTTGCTTTGGCTTCATTTGTTTGACCAGTTGTCCCTACAGCACAGGCAATCTCCGTCATGTACTGAATGTCCCTCTTGTGAGACATGAATGAAGGTCCCGGAGTTGTCATAAAATTCTCACCAGGGCTGCTTTTGTTACATTCAAAGATTGTTGTTTAAGATATGTATGTTGGTTAGTGGAATTTTGTTTTAACACTGATGGAGAACATAATATCCTACCACAGCTTATAAGGGAAGAAAAAGTTTCCAATTTGCTTTGCTTGCTTTCTAAATTTGGAAAAGTGTGGAAACGGAAAGCAAAGTTATATATATATTTAAAAAAAAACGCATTTTAACTTCCAGACCTTTGTTTTGTATAACAAATCAGAATTTCATGATCAAGTAAAGTTTTTTGTTGTGATTTATTGGATGACAGTGTATCTGAAGATTACTGCATACTCTTGAAAAATTCAACAAAAAAAAAAGAACTTAACAAGCTTAATATTTTTTATTTATAAAAAAGACCGAATGTGCCCTTAAAGATATGGCAAAGATAAGACAAAGACTCTTAGAAAGCTTTACACCTGTACAAGGGAAGGTCTAATATTAGAAACGTAATAATATGCAGGCACAGAGAGAGAGAGAGAACTCCTTTGCTTCTGTTGGAAATGATTGGAAAAATTACAAATTAGATTTAATAATTTTGTAGATCTGGATAGATATGGAAAAGCAAATAAGTACAGGTATATATTTCTGTTCCCAGACTTTCTTTGCTATCATTTTCTGAATATTGTGTCTTTCCATCAGCTTATCTCATATTTCCTTCTCTCCTTTATCTGCCCTTTGAAGTTTTTCTTCTCTTTTTTCCTTTTGTATATTTTACTTTTAAATCCTCATTTCCTTCCTTCCTTCCTTCCTTCCTTCCTTATTTATTTTTTCTTTACACTTCTCCTTGTGTCCTATATATCCTGTCTGTTTTTTCTATCTGCTCTTTGTCCTTCCTGTTTCATCCCTTCCTTTAATCCCTTTTCATCTCCTCACAATTCTTCTTCCTTTCTTTCATGATTTTCTTCCATCTTTTCTTTTTCTTCCTCATTCTACCATGATTTTGTCTTTGCCTCTGTCCCTCTATCGTTCTGTTTTTTTCTCAGGGGAAGTCTGGAAGTTACTCTATACATGTACAATAAGAAGGTTTAACCTGTGGATAAATTGTGCTATGAAGCCATATTGTTTTTTAAGACAACAGGATAATCCATCTATTGGAAAATATAATGGAACATAGTGACATTGTTATTGTGGAACTGGAAGATGACAATATCGCTGTATAACAGCTTCACTGACCAAGTGAATTCACACATACTATATAGCTCGACAAAGTTCTGTCTCATGGTTGAATTCATGGAATTAGAACAAAAAGTTATTTTGGTGTCCTCTGAAAACAATTGTGTGCTGAAAAGAAAAAATGAACAATGATTTATCAAAAACATCCTACAGTTCTTATTATAGAACTGACAAAGATGCCTGAACAATGGAGTAAGTGGAGCAACCATGAACTCCACCTGCAGTTTTTTAAAGCATAGAGCAAGCTTTCTTTTTTTCATACAGCCACAATTTGACCCGGTAGAAAAGAAAAGTCATGGGTAGAAATCAGATAGAGCTACTATCATTATCTTATTGTTAGTAAAACAGATTCATAGTTCACATCAAGTTGAAGAATAAAGACAGAGATATACTTAAAATGATATCAGGATTGTTTTATAGACCTTATGAATTATTCCCCAAAAACTATGAGATTTTTTTTTACCTTTCTACACATTCATCCCTTTATTGCAGCACATTGAAAGTGGAGTTTCACTGTAATCATTAAATAAGAGAAGAAAAACATTATTGTTTCCTTCTAAACAGGCATTTAACTCAAATCTCTATCAAACCAGACTGACCTCAAAGTGTTGTATTCTGTTTATCCTGCTTTTAATTTTGCTTTTTGTTATTTTGAGAAAAGAGCAAAACAAAAAAACATAAACAGTGAAAGATTTCATATTGCTTTTGTTTGGTTCGCAACAACTTATGAGACTTTATATCTCTTTATTAATGAAATAACTATTTTTCTTGCAGACCAGAACCACAGTAAAGAAGCTAGCGGTGGCTCCAAAGTGGAAGAACTATGGCTTGAGAATATTTGGTTTCCTTCACCCTTACAAAGACGGTAACTAGCTTTCTTTTCTCAGCCCCTGATATGAGAGCCTTAACGCTTGTGTCCTTTATCAGAGCAGGCAATTTCCTCAGCCCTTTTAATCCGAAAGCCTTCAAGCCACTAATGTAGTGGATATTCACATTTTCATCTTGGCTCAATGCCTGAATCTTACAGCTAAATCTTGCTTCAGTCCCCTTATGGTCCGGCACTGAAATCCAGTTGCTATGGGAACAAAAACCCCAAATGTCCAAGTGCCCTTACACAAATTGCTGAACTCCAGCTATTAATTAGATTACCATTCATTTTAGGCTCTCATATGGCTTTAGCTGGTAGTATGACTCTATTGAGTGGATGGTGTGAAGGTCATGCTGTTCTCCGGATCACTGTAATACCCCTTTACCTTTATCATTTAAGTCCAGCTGAAAAAAAAAATATGACTAAGTAGACGTCAGGTAACAGTGCACTTAAATCTAAATCTCTGTTATGGATATCTTAATACCATAATGACATACTTAATAGTGCAACAAGGAACATTGTGTAAATTTAAATGATTGTTCTGTGACATTAAATCCAAAGTACTTTGAATTTGAAAGATATGCATAAGCCCTGCCTACAAAGACAGCACTGCCCTAAAATATTCAGCATAAAATGTGAAGTTTTATTTTTTTTTAAAGTTTAAACCAACTTAATACACTAATCTGAATAAGTGTTAATGGGTTTTATTCTCTGTTAACTAGGAAATTGGATGGTTCACAGAAGTTGATCTTGAGAGTAAAGAGCATTCCCCCATGCTGATCTGGTCGTTTTGGCTATTTATCTTTGTAAGGCAACCTTGAGTGCCATAAAATATGCCTTTTAATAAGATTTATTCTTATTATTTTCTCCAGCTTCATGTTTTACGCTATATTTATTAAAATGTTACAGCAGAGCTTTCAAAAATTTCCTCTAGTGAAGTTAAATCTACAGGACAGAACAAACACTCAAACAAACACATAAATTGGTTGAATTTTCCTTCATGAGATATGAGCCAAACTCCAGGGGTAATCAAGTAAGGCATTTTTTCTTAGTTTGGCAAACTGTGTCCATTGATTTGCAAAAGTTTTGGATTTACAATGTATGTAGAAGCTGTGACAGCATTTCATGCATACCCAAACACTCCAGAGATTAAGGCAAAAGGTTACGGTTTTCATCAGCATAGATAGGCTTACTTGTATAAGCTTGGTCATGAAACAGCCTTCTGCTTGTCCTTTACTCTAAACAAGCAGTATTTAAAGAAATCTCTTCCCTGACTGACCTCCTACATTTTCAGATTATATTTTCACGTTATTTACTCGTATTTTCTATTCTTTATTTATTTCCTCTGGACTGGTGCTATGCATTTTCTCTCACAAGTACACCATTTTGTATTCAGTCTAGTGGCTGTAACACTTTCTTTATGATTTTAACCAAATGAGCCACAGACAGTTTAGGCACTATATGCTGATATCATTTTATACCTGAGAACTTCTTTTAAAAAATCTTGTCTTGTCTGATTATGTTGCGTACCAATGGGGGGTCATCCTTATCTTCTTCCACTAACACCCACTTTGATCATGTTCTACCCCCTGCAGGTGATTTCCAGTTCTCTGTATCGTCTGATGATAACTCAGAGTTCTGGTTGAGCCCTGATGAGAGTCCTCTCAATGCCAGACTGCTAGTTTATGTTGGCCAGGTGAGCTTTCATCTCAATGAACCCTACCCCTGCACACACAAACCATAACTACTTAAAATATGTGCAATGTACTTTGCTGGCTTGTTTTTATTTTTTGCACCTAAGTATGTTGCTAAATTAAAAAATCACTTTGAAAAGACATCAGATCTCAACTAGAAAATAAGCTGTCCTGGATATCTATATTGAAATGGAAATAATATCATGTTTGAATCAAAGGGACACCATATAATTTAAAAGAATAACTTAATTCCACATCACAAAGAAATTACTAATAGAAATACTGATGCAGCATGCAACTCCAAATTACTGAACTGTTATTGAGGCAACTCAATAACATAATCAGTTATTTGTAAGAGTCCAACATTTTTGTATCCATACCTGATGACATCAGTGCACCTTCCTTTTAACATGAGTTTTTTACCCCTAGTTCATGAAAAATTGTGAATTGTTGTGAATTGGTGTTATATAAATAAACAACTGAATTAAAACAGGGCATTACTAGGTTTCTGGGCAGTCTTAGGTTTAACCCTGTTCCATGTGAAGGAACCTAAACATGATGCTCTGGAGTCGCTCTGTTAGATTAAAGTCAGGTGAACACAGTAGCCAGTCAGTGGTAATTATCCTGTTATTTTTAACGATGAAGAAAATATGAAGTCCTCATGTGTCACACTCTTGCAAACCTTTACCACTGTATTATTTTTGATTTACTGGAAAAGTGAAGGTTCTAACAATGCATCCAATGATTGTATTGCTGCCTACTGGCAGGTTTTATTTCTAATTTTGAAACTTGACATTTATTTGCACAATTTCTGAGCATATACACAACAGTTATTATTAATGACAGTGCTAGAAGTGGCATAAAAACCCCTCAATGAGCTTATGCCGTGTTTACGCTTATGGTTAACAATAAACCACAGGCAGTGCTGTTGTTTATCCTTGGCAGGTCTGTGCGTTCCTCCTTGGACATGCCTCCCCATACAAACACTGACCAATCCACAAACTGATTATGCTGAACGGTACAGGCAGCATAACATTTATCGCAGCTTCTTCAGACCCTTTCACATGTCTCCCATGAGCTCAGGGTTAACCAGCTCTCATCAGTGAAAAGAACTCAGCACTAATACCCTAACCTGTCAATAACAGTGTTCTCTCAAAGATGCCAGTGAGCTCCACAGTGCCCGGCAGTAAGCAGAGGGTTTACTAGGGAATGTCAGGTTCTCGGGCCACTCAGAAACTTGGTATCTAATATTGCAGGCTGACTGTAAGGTTTCCTTTATTTGGCCGGTAGAAGGTCCCTTCAAAAGACTGGACAGGACAGGATCTTGTTTCTCCTTGCACAAAAAAGCAGATCCCAGTTTTGCTGATTAGTTGACGACCTTCAGTGGTTCTGTCCAACTCTCCTATTGTAGCTGTCTTTCTCTTAGAATCAGCCTCATGGTGTTAAGACCGTGCTGCAAGATATAGCAAGCATTACAGCAAAAGGAAATATTATTGTGCCATCCTGTGCAACCACAGGGCTGAGGTTTTGACCTCATACTACCAGTAGATAGTACAAGGCAAATACAAAACCAAAGAGATCAAATAAAAAAAAAAAAACATTGAAAAGGATTAAAAAGGAATCTGTGGCTTCCACCTGTAAACCATCCCTATTTTTAAGGTCCCATTATTGTTGCCCAGTAAGGAAAGCTGTTGTTAATTTTATTACCACAAAACCACTCACACTGATTAAAAACCCCCTCCACTAACCTGCTGAGATTAATACTGCGGAAGTTTTAGTTTGTCCGACCTGATATTATACCTTAATTTAGTATTTCTTTAATTTGTTTGAGCATTTATTACTGAAAAAAACTCTAAAACTAATCTTGTTCTATGTCGATTAGTGATGTGCAGCTGAATTGATTACCGGGTTTTAGCTTACAGGATTTTACTACAAGAATATCTTAAATTAGTTGACATTTCTGAATATTAAGTAGGAAAACACGTTTTGTTTGCGTACCCTTGCAGCATTTAAATTAAGGCATCTCAGAAAATTCAAACTCGACATAAAAGTCCTCATCAGTGGAGCTATTGTTTTGGTGGAGACCAACTTATTCTTTTAAATTATGGGTAATTGATTATAATTTTATAGATAACTTAGAAGAGCATTCTTTTACAGTGGCACTTAGTGCTTGGTCCTGACCTGCCATGTATATTCATCATCCAGAAAGTGATGTATGTCAAGCAAGATTACCTTTTTCCTAATCTTACACCCATTTAATCAAATCTGTTACCAATCACCTACAAGCTGCTAAGAACCCAAGAGGGTTAAACTGCAGCTTTCCCATTCTATCTGTCCTTAGTTCTGTGAGTGAAACTTAATGAATAATTCATTTGTTGTTCATTGGTTTGTTTTTTATTGAATACCCCAATATGATTCAGAAAGCAGTGTGTATGAGACGAAGCAAGTTTATTTATATAGCACAATTCAGTACAAAGGAAATTCATAGCTCTTCATAGTGCTTTATTAAACAATAAAATAGAAGGAAAAGAAAAGCAGGATAAAAGTAAGTGAAGACACAAACATGATAAAAGCAGGTAGTAAAACAAAACAGTTGGACCACAAATTTAAACTAATTGGTTGTACAATGTTCACCCTGTATGACACACATGTGTTTTAAGAGCAGGGATCCTGCTATAGTACCATCTGTATTCCAACAGGATGCGAGATGTCAGCGAGTTCCATGGGAACTGAGATTAATTAGCTGCTGGTGACTATTGATGTGACATTTAGCAGTGGAGAAATCATCTATCTCGTGGCAGACGAGCAGTAGTGTGGCCAGGAATCATTCATTTTGCCCGCTGGCTGACTGACAGGCGTCAGTGCCCTGACTGTCTTCTGAGACATATTGTGTTTCAAGGGTGAAAATCTAAATGTCCACTCCCTCTCTCCATATGTGACATGGATGTGCAGTTTGTTGGAGCTCATAGGGGAGAAGTTTTCTCCTAGAATATGAGGGTATTGTCCTTTTGGGTTTTTCCTTTTAAAAAGTCTAAATGTAGCACTAAAACAAGATTATTCGAAATATTAAGTTATGCCTTTTGAATTTAGAGAACATGCAAAAATGTAAGAAATATATAAATATATTTCTCCGAGGAGGACAGATTAATGCCAGCCTCACTTTAAGTATCTAATCTCACAAAATGATCAAATTGTTGTCCTGGTACTTTTTTGTGTTTATGGTTTAAATGACTCACAGCTATTGATAAAAACAACAATAAATTAGGGCAAGCACATGCTTTATATATATATACTGTATATATATATATA